CTTTTTGTCCCCAAGAGCTTAGTCCCTAAAGTGTTTCTGCAGTGGAGATGCTCTCAGGCAAGCGAAGTGATAGCACATAAGACAGAGCCAAGACATAATCCCCACACCACAAACGGCACTCTCAGGTGCCATTAGATTCCCTGCCTTTAGCTGAATTCTCCTCACAGAGCACTGGGGCCTCTTAGGCTGGGGTTTTGTGATTCCCGCGGCGGCACCGCCCAGCAGCGGGGCGGCCCCGGAATGGCGGCGGGGCGGAACGCGGCGCTGAGGGGCGGAGGCAGCGGCGGGGCCCCATTGTCGGCGCACGGCGGGGCCGGTCTGTCCCCAGCCGGTCGGTCCGTCCCCCAAAGCACTCCCCGGCCGCGGCCATGGTGCCCGGGGCCCGAGCGCTGCGGGCGGTGGGGCTGCTCCGCCCGCCCGGGGCCGCTCCCCGCACCGGGGCCGCTCCCCGCACCGGGTGGTCGATGTCGTGGCAGGCCCTGATGCCTACCGTGACCTTCCTCGGCTGCTGGCAGTGGCAGAGTCTGGCCAGCAAGCTGCCAATGTCCTGTTGTCCCTAGATGAGACCTATGCTGACATTCTGCCTGTCCAGACTAGTGCAGGTGGCACGACAGCATTTGTGTGAGTACCTTTTCCCAGTGCTTGTTTCTGTGGCTCTGGTTTGGAAATCTGTAGAGTAGATGTGTCAGTGACAGCAGCTGCCCAGGAGATGTAGTGCCTGGCTGCACTGAGTCTCCCAGAGTGTGTGTGTGTGTGTTTCTGCTGTTGCTTTGCTGTGTGACTGAGCCCTGGGGAGCGTGCCCTGAGCTCTGGCTGTTGTAGACTTTTCTCCCTCTCCTTTGGGAATGCTGACTTGCAGCCTGATGCTGCATTGAGTGATTTCTGTGCCACTGTCCCTACCTGAAGTCTATGCCTCTCTCATCCCCTGCCTTCTGTGGTGCCCTGCTCCAGGTTCTGCTATTCTTTCTTCTAATGCTCCACACATTATAACTTCTGATTGTTTAGTTTTGGTGATAAATTGTCAGACATGAAATCAGACTCTGCTTGGTGTGGCCATAGCATATGGAAGGACAGTATCACTCTGCAGGAGTGGGATGTAGAAGGATCTTTGATCACTGCCAGGCTGCAGTGGCAGTCTGTGCCTTATTAGGTCTTTCCAGCTTTCTTGGAAATATGCAGGAAAAATCAGGAGGCGTTAGCTCAGGGCAAGCTGAATCCAGTGTGGATGGTCTGTGTGTGGAACTGGCTGCAGGCGGCAGTGCTGGGCTCGTCTGGGCAGGATGCAGTGTGGATGGTTGTGGAGGAGGGGGGTGTGACATGTGCTTTACCTCTTGGCAGGTCCATCATGCGGGGCTGTGACAACATGTGCAGTTACTGCATCGTGCCCTTCACCCGAGGCCGGGAAAGGAGCCGCCCCATTGCCTCCATCCTGCAGGAAGTGAAGATGCTCTCGGATCAGGTGAGGCAGAGCCTCCTCCCACCTGTCCCAAGCCATGGGAGGAAGGGTGGTTCCTGGTAACAGTGTTTTCAGTGGTACTTGTAACCAGTGTCACTGCCTTTATCTGCAGAGAGGAGGTTATGGGGAGGTCCACCAGTGACTTTTGGATTCCCCTTGTAATACTCCGTGACGGACAGGGATGGGAGGGCTTCTGTTGGAAACTCCTTGGAGTAAAACCGTGGTTGCCCTTGCAGCTCAGCCATCCTACCCAGGTTATATTTCTTCCTCTGTTTATTTTGTAGGGAGTGAAAGAAGTGACCCTCTTGGGTCAGAATGTCAACAGCTTTCGAGACCTGTCTGAGGTGCAGTTTCAGTCAGTGGCTGCCCCTGGCCTCAGCCGTGGCTTTAGCACAGTCTACAAAGCCAAACCGGGAGGTTTGCGCTTCTCACACCTGCTGGACCAGGTCTCTAGGATTGATCCAGAAATGAGGATCCGTTTCACCTCCCCACACCCCAAGGATTTTCCTGATGAGGCAAGTGTAAAATAAGCACCTTGGCCTCTGCTTGCAGCTAGCAAGGCAGCTCTGAAATTGAGGTATGGGGTGTGCTGCCTTCCCAAACAAAGAGAATGTGGGTTCCCAAACTGGGAACAGCAGCTCCTGGGAGTTGGATGCTGGGGCTAAAGCTGGCAGGTTTGTAGTTTGCTGGCTTTTAACCAGGGAAGACTCTTCCCTTGGCACCCAGGTACAGTTAAGCTGTCTGAGACATCTCCTGATCACTTACCACAGGTCCTGCAGCTCATCCAGGAGCGACACAACATCTGCAAACAGCTGCACCTCCCAGCCCAGAGTGGGAGCACACGAGTCCTGGAGGCCATGCGGCGAGGGTGAGTCACCCCATGAGGAGCCCTGTGTCCTGCCCTTTGATTTGCCTGCTGGTTTCTCCTCACTGATGTTGTGGGTTTCCAGTTGGCAAATCCGTGTGTTGTTCATTGCAGATACACAAGAGAAGCATATTTAGAGCTCGTACACCACGTGCGTGACTCTATTCCAGGTGCGTGTTCCTTTGGCTTGGTCTGAAGTCGGCATTGCTGCATCTCACTGTCCTTTCCCAAGTGCAGCATTCCTGTCTTCCATGAGGGAAGTGTACAGCTGTGTGTCTATTACAGGAGTGAGCCTGAGCAGTGATTTCATCGCTGGGTTCTGTGGAGAGACGGAGGAGGATCACCTGCAGACTGTGTCCTTGCTGCGAGAAGTCCGCTACAATGTTGGCTTCCTGTTTGCCTACAGCATGAGACAGGTGAGTGCAGGCCCTGGTGGAGAAGGCTGTTATTTCTTACTGTGTCCCCTAAACTCCTCAGTGCTGTTTCTCACAATAACACATTTTTTAAAAAGCTGATGAAAATCATACCCAAAGACTTGGTATACTTGTAGATGTTGTTTGTCTGAGGCAACATTTGTAGGGTATGTGGTTCTGCAAGGGTTGTTATTGTGCCTGGGAGGCTTCCAGCTTCTCTGTAGGAGTGTCAGGGTTGGTAACTGCTCGGTGACCCGGCTCTGCAGATGCTCCAGGGTCATTGCAGGGAAGTAATTGTGTCAGCAGAGTCTGCAAATACATTATTTACTGATGAGGAATGTGCTGATGGAGCTGGGCTGGAGGCCAGCTATGAGGGTCTGTCAGTCAAGTCTGGGGAGAAGTGGTGAATTTTTGAGAAGGTATTTCCATGGGAAGAGTGGGTAGTGGGTAATTCTCCATTAGAATGCTCTCCACAATGTATGATACTGTTGGGGAAAAGGACAAAGGTTGGGAAGTGTAAGGAAGCAAAGGGATTTGGATCACCATTGAGTACATAGATTAGAAGTAGTTGAATCTGTTGCCTGTCTATGGGCAGACAGGCACATCCCACACAGGAGCTACAAACTGTTTCACAGCCACTGATACTCAGTGCCTAAAAGGTGGAGAAGAAAGATGTGAGGAGCACGAGGGCGTGGCTGGCACTGGAGAATAGTTCCTTTGTGATACAAACTGAAATGCTGTTGGAATGTGGGAAGCTGTTGCTGGAAGAGCAGTGGAGCTGGCTGGGGTCAGGCTGGGTGCTGAGGGGCTGCGCTGGCTCTGTGTGTGCAGAAGACGCGGGCGCATCACCGGCTGCAGGACGATGTCCCCACAGATGTGAAGAAGCGGCGGCTGGAGCAGCTCATTGCCACCTTCAGGGAGGAGGCTGCAAGGGCCAACGCAGCACTGGTGGGACAGGCCCAGCTGGTGCTGGTGGAAGGGGTGAGTGAGCCTGGAATGGACTTGTCCTCCTCCTTTCTTGGTGGCTCTGAGGCTGTGCACAGCAGTCACCACTTCTGCCTTCCCTTCTCACTTCCCCCTTGTAATCCCAGGACTCCCAAGACCGTTTCTTCACACATAAGCAGACAGCTTGACTTTCCCAGAGCACTGAGCTGAGGACAGGGAATGGGATCAGTTAGGGATGCATCTCTGGCCAAGCACAGAATTTGTGCTTTGGTGTGTGAGTGTCACCCAGCAGCTCTGGACACAGTGCTGTGTTCCAGGGCTTGGTTAATGTGGGTTTAATACCATCAATAGTGCTCAATTAATTCCTGAGGCAATAAAGCCCAGCAGTGAATCAGAGCAATTGCCATGCAGGTAATGTTCCCTGTCCTCTTTGCAGCCCAGCAAACGCTCTGCCTCGGAGCTGTGTGGGAGGAACGACGGCAACATCAAGGTGATCTTCCCCGACGCCGAGCTGGAGGATGCTGCCGAGCACGGGGCTCCAGGCAGAGCCCAGCCTGGGGACTATGTGATGGTGAAGGTGACCTACCTGCAGTGCTCATTTCCTTGCACAGTGCTGTTCTCTAGGGCAGCTGCTGCCAGAAGAGCCTAAAATTAGAATGAATCCTCCCCAGCCTTTCTGTGCCTGAGGGCCTGTGCTGTTTCTTTCAGGTAACCTCTGCCAGCTCGCAGACCCTGCGGGGAGTTCCGCTCTGCCGGACCTCCCTGTCCCGTGCTGCTGCTTCTCACTGAGGGATCCCTGCTGCCCCTGGATGGAAGCAGCACATGTTCTCCATGAAGAAACAAGGAAGTGTGGTCAGGTGGAGAGATACGGTAGAACCAGGGAGATATATATGTGTATTGAAATTTATTTATGAAGTAATAAAATACATATATATTTCTGCTTTGGTGTCAAGTTACCCTTAATAGGTGTGTGCAGGTTCAAAGGGGTAGAAGCTGTGTGTGAACTTGCAAAATCCAAGTACTGTACTTTACTGTATTTTGACTTGCCCTGAGGCTTGTCCCACCCTCAGGGTGCTGCAGGTCTGTCCTCTGACTGTGATCACGTCCTCTGGCACAGCCCAGCCTGAGACGGATGTGCAGAGCAGCTCCTTCCTACGAGCTCAGCTGAATTTAGGAGCTGCAAAACCTGGTAGTACCTACAAAACACAGCCCCAGTAGCTATTGGAGAATGGCAGGAGTACTGTCAAAAGGTAGAAAGAACTGAAATAACAGAAGATTAATTAATTATTTCCAAATATTGGCAAAATGCTTGGAAAGGGGATGCAAGAACCCACACTGCATTTCTGTGTTGGAATGTGGCACTGGAGTGTGGAATGAAAAATGGTGTTTAACGTGCACCAGTGAATCTGTTATGTCTGGGGCTGAAGGAATGCAGCCTTGCCCTGGTACTGGGGAGGATTGGGTCTTGTCTGGAGAAAATTTCCTTGTTTCCAGGCCTGGGGAATGCATGGGAAGAGATGGCTGCTAGTTGAGGATCATCTCTGGCCTCTTAAAACGTGGGGTGCAGTTTTGTAATCCACATATCTGTGGGTGTCCTTCCCTTTGCTTACTAAGAGAAATGGTTGTATTGATTTAAATGGCCAGTAAGTTCTTCATGTGCATCTGACAGTTCCTTGTTTTCATCAGCCTGCAGCTGACCCTGGCTGCACAGTGTCACATTCCAGCCTGCTCTGTGAAATTCAAACAAGGACCTGTGACCTGCACTTGTGAGTAAACTGACATGTGAGAAAGGATCAGCCCTTTTCATACAGATAATCATGTCATTAAAATAAATGCTTGTAAAAGGCTCAAGCCAGTGACCAGTTTTGAAGGAGCAGCTGGTAGCAGGGCAGTCACAACATGAATTTGCAGAATTTTAAAATAAACGTGAAAGGGTTTTGCTTGAAAGCTGCCTCTTCTGCTCAACTCTTTCTGGGCTATAATTGTTTCCCTTTGAAAACAGCATGGTTCACTGAATATTCATTAGGCTTCAAGAAACAAGTACATTTTGCTTATTATCAGAGCTGAGTCCCTTCTCCTAGAAGAGAATTTGCACAGTCAGCACAGTCTGTGTGGGCTCTGCGGGGCTGACAGGCACACAGGGCTGATCTGCCCTCCTGCTTCCACATGGGAATGTGTATGTGGCCCAAATTCACAAACCAGGGCCTGAACCTCTGCTGCTCACTGAGGGTGAGCCTGTGGTCCAGGGGGGTTTCAGGGAGAGGCAGCAGTTTGGGATGAAACCCCAAAGGAAGCAGCAGCATGTGTAAGCAACAGTCCTCAGAGGTGATGGGCACTGAGGCCAGCGTGCTTGGCTCATCAAGCCCACTGAGCAGTGGCCAAATTTAAGTGCCCTATGGCAAATCTTTCAGCTCATAATTCCCAGGCATTTTGGGACTAGGGCCCAAGCCAGCACCCTGGAAAAAGGGCTGACACCCACCTTTCCCTGTTCATTTTGACCTCCCCAGGAGCATCTATTCCAAGTGAGAAATGCAGACCACAGTGTGCCCTCCCCCCTCCATCCTGCTTTGAGGCCAGCTGTGGCCGTTTTACAATCATTATTTTAAGAGCGGGAGACTAATGAGGAGGAGAGCTGGGTTTTACATTTTGATGAGGAGGTGATAATGCTCACTGCACGGGCTCCCTGGGGAGCCATAGCACTCACCATTTGCTTCGCCTCCTTAGTTTTTATAGGCCTCGGGAATGAAGACCGAGGTTTTAAGGCAGCAAAGCATCCATTAGGAAGTGCTTACGGTGACCTTGGAGGCTGAGTCAGTTCTTTGGCACTGCGTGGAAGAAGGAATGTGTTGTTTTTCTTGAGGCCTGGAGGTGGGATGCAGGTTCTGTGTCACTTGTCAGGTTTGCTGCCTAAATCCAGCTGTTAGGAAAGCTGGACTCCTACCTCGTTTGTGTTCTTGCACGTTTCTGTTCCCACTCTGAGCAGGGACGAGAGCCCTGAACCCTGCCAGACCTCCCATCTCCCTGATGTACACCTGTGCCTTCTGCAGGTCCAAGTTGTGCCCTTACAGTCAGTCCTGCCCCAGTTACACCCATGGGCAAACACCTAAGGAGGCTTTTGGCAGATCAGGTTTCCCAGTACAGACCTGAAGTGCTGGGATGACATTTACTTTCCAACAGCAGCCGTGCCCCGAGGGTGTCTCCTGACACCTGCATTTCGTAAATCACAGCCTGCACTTTCCTTTCTGCTGGCAGGGTGTGGGTGGGGCTGGACATCACCAGCACGCACAAATAGCTTCACCTGACAGAAAGGTTGCTGTCAGGGAGAACAAGAGCCCGTTTGTTCCCCTGGCCCCCATCAGAGAACAAACTTGTTTGTCCTCAGGTCTTGGCTGTGCTCAGGGAGTGGAGGGACAGACAGCAGCAGGTGCTCACAGCCCCTGCTCAGCACTGGCTTTTGTTGGCCTAAGGACAGCCTCAAAATTGATTCCCATCACTGCCTACACTCGCCTGCCCAAATTTTCTCCCTTCTCCAAGACTTTTGAAGCAGCTTGGGCAGAGCAGTCAGGCTTTTCCCAGTGCCAGAGCTGGCCGTGGTGTATCACATCCTTCTCCAGAACCCCTTGAGCTCTGCAGTCTGTGTTCCCTCTGCACGTCATGGTGCTGGTGGAGGGAAGGATGGACGTTTTCCCTGATGGAAGCCTGTAAATACAGTTTGCTTTAGGTCAGCTGGAGCCTGGCTCTGCTGGGGGATGGCAGGTGACAAGGCATTGCCTCTGAGTGATGCCAGCGGCCTGCCAGGCTGTGCCAGGGGAAATGCCTTCCTCCTCTTTTCTCATGGCTTTTCACTTCAGCAGACAGGCTCCATGTGCCTGCCAGCCATTCCCCCAGGCCTTCTCCTCCTCCCTGCTCTGGGACTGCTGTGGGCTGGGGATTCAGGGAGTTTTCCTTCAGCAGTTTTTCATCACCGTTTCTGAAGCCAGCTCTTTGCACAGAGCTTTGGGATTTAATGTAACATAAAGAGTTTTCAAAACTGTTTTCCACTTCTAAAACCAGTTCAACTGTTCACTCCTTTCTGAAACTGGCAGTGGTTGGGTTCTGGCAGGGCAGGTACAGCTGCTCCTGCAGGCTCCTCTGCAGCCGATGGTGAACTCTATGCTGTGCTGGAAATGCAATGAGCTCTCCATTGCCATTACTTGCTGCACCCCCAGACCAGCCCCAAGCTGCTCTGCAGCCCCCCCAGGTTGGCATTGTCTGTCCCCAGCCTCCCTCCATGTCCCTGTGCCTCCCCGGAGAGCTGCTGGGCTGTGACCTGCATGGCAATGACAGGTGGTGAGTGGCAGCTCCGAGCTGTGGGGTTTGTGAATTCAGAGGGTATCTCACAGTCTGTCACAGGCACTGCTGCTCTCTGGGGCCCAGCAGTCCTGTGGCTCTCCCTCCTCCCTTGTGAGCAATTTATTTCCTTTACTGACAGACAACTATTGACTTCTCATTCTCCTGAAGATGAGATGTCTTGTCTCATCAGGTTTAAATTAGTTTTATCTTTAGCCTTTCCTATTAATAAGCTCTCATCGCGGTGTCATTACTTGATATCTATTTTCTGATGTTTTTCATTAATGGCTCTATATCTTCCAGATATTTTTTCAAGTATTTTTTCCCTGCTGCTGAGTTATTTAACAGTCAGACACAGATCAGAGACATGAAAATGGTCTGATGCTGGTCAGAGACAGCAAGGAATGGCCCAGCACTCCTTGCTGTGCAGGGCAGGGCACTGGGACTGTGATGGGGTGGCAGTGGGGCTCCATTGGGCTGTCGGGGATGGTCATGCATTCCCTCCCTGTCTCTCTGCATCCCTCTGATCCCAGCCTGAGCTCTGACACGCCTGGGGCTCTCAGGAGCAGGAGTCAATAGAGTAATTAAAATGCCTCCTGTGAGGCGAAGGTGCTGCAATTCCTTTGGACAGCTGTATCTGTGAAAAACAGAGGACTGCTTTCTGTGCTTTGTGTGCCTGGCAGGGGCTCTTCCCCTTCAGCAGAGCTTCCACTAGGAAATGTGAAAGGGAATTATTTCACATTATTTCAAGGGGGCCCTGCCCAGGGTCCCTGTTCCTGCTGGGCCCAAGCTACCTTCCCCAGCAGCCAGTCTGGGGCAGCTGCCACTGCCACCAGGAACGTGGAGCTGGAAGTACTGCCAGCCTGGGGACAGGCAGGGTGGCCAGCCTGAGGATAGGGAGGGCTGTCAGCACAAGGACAAGGCAGGGCTTTCTCATTATGTCTCCAAGGGTGTCAAAAGCAAAGTCCATCAGTATTGAAAACACCCAAATCTCAACCTCGCTGCCCTACATTTACTTCTTGAATTAAGGAGGAGGAGAAAGGTGTCTTAATTCCTGGAGAGCAAACCCAGGGATGACAACTGCCTGATGCACAGTGGCATGGCTAATGGAGCTGTCAGGGTGTTCAGGGACACTGCTGGGGGTGTGTTTGCCCCTTACAGAGCAAGGTCATTGTGGGATCCCTCGCCCGTCCTGGCTGTGACTCCCATGTAGGAATTACAGAGTGGCTGCAGGATGGGCAATTTGCAGCAGTGCCTCCAGCAAGGGTTTGAGAGTGATTAATATTCAGCACACTGCTGTGAAAATGAACAGCCAGAAAAGATTGTCCTCCTCCCCTTCCTGCATCCATCAGGACAGTGAGGGGAACAGAAATGAGATTCACTTTTGGTCAGGCTGATTATGGGGTTTTGAGCCTAAACAAGGTGCTCCCTTCTCTTTGGGTTATTTAGTGTCTTTTAATCTGTTTCTTCTCTCTCTCTTTTTTTTTTTTTTTTTTTTTTTTTTTAATGTCATCTTTCTGTAATTTAACTACAGGAAGTTTAAAAAAGAATAGTAGGAGGCTTTGGTTGAAGCTATCAGAACCAAACAGGAGGCAATTCCACAACCAGCTT